CTCTGCATCTGAGCTATCTTCTCATTTGTTTTTTTTTAAAGATTTATTTATTATGTATACAACATTCCTTCCATATATGCTTGCATGCCAGAAGAGGGCACCAGATCTCATTATAGATGGCTGTGAGCCACCATGTGGTTGCTCAGGACCTCTGGAAGAGCAGTCAGTGCTCTTAACCTCTGAGCCACTTCTCCTGCCCCTTCTCATTTGTTTTCTACACAGAGAAAGCTATAATGAATGTCATAATCCTGTTTCAGACTGGTTCTGTCTTCTTTAGTGTAAGATACTCTTTGATTTGAATTTGAAACCTTTGTTAAAATATAAAAATATAGCTGGGCAGTGGTGATAAAAGGCAGAGGTGGATCTCTGAGTTTGAGGCCAGCCTGGTCTACATAGCGAGTTCTGGGATAGCAAAGACTACACGCAGAAACCCTGCCTTGAAAAAACAAAAATAAATAAAAATATATTGTCTGAGTAGATGAAAGCAGTTGCTGCCAAGCTTGTTGACCTGAGTTTGATCCCCAAGAACTCACAAGATGGAGAAAACCAAGTCCTGCACTGCCACTTGCATGCACGCGCACACACACACACACACACACTATCTGTGAAAAAAAAGCAGACCAAAAAGTTTAAGATATTTATTATCTGGAATTCTTTTTTTTTTTTTTTTTTTTTGAAGGCAACTCTCCAACTTTATTTGAGATTCAGTAGGTTAGTTCTCATCCACATTGACTGACTGTAGATTTTTGAATGTGGTAACAGGCACATAAGTTACCAATGTGTAGAGTTTGTTTGGCGAATCCTCATCCTCATTACGTTTTCTGGACAAATGTACCCGGATACGGTATGGGACATTCTTTATTCCTTTGGCCCAGACAGCTTTATTTTGAGCCTGGTATCAATCCGTACATGCGGAGTCCCCATCTCCTTCATGGCAAATTTCCGGATTTCTTTGAGTGCACACTTCTTGAAGCCCACGCCATGGATGTGCTTGTGAATGTTGATGGTGTACTCTCGGGTCACCACCTCGTTGATGGCAGAACGGCCCTTCTTCTCGCCACCCTTCTTTGCGGGAGCCATTCTGCCGGGCCCAAGTTGGCTGGAATTCTTTTAGAAACAGCATTGTTCCCTGTGATTATTCTTAAGAAATATGCCCCCCCCATTGTGTTGGTTCAGTGAGGAAGGTAACAACATTCAGTGTTGCCAGAAGTGTCTCACTTGCCAGTTATTATTATAGTAAGCACATTTACCCAGCAGTCCTGCTTGTGTCAGGAAAAGCCCAAGTCTTCACTAAAGCTCTAGGATTGCTGATATATACTATGTTTATAAAGCAAGTGTCAACTACTAGCCTGTCTATGAGCCTTTTTTGAGACAAGAGGGACAAATGGCAGGTCTTGATGTGTGGCCCAAGCTGATCATGGACATAGCAGTCTTTTTTTTTTAAATATTTATTCATTTATTATGCATTCAATATCTGAATACATGTGTGCCTGCAGGCCAGAGAGGGCACCAGATCTCATTACAGATGGTTGTGAGCCACCATATGGTTGCTGGGAATTGAACTCAAGACCTTTGGAAGAGCAGGCAATGCTCTTAACCACTGAGCCATCTCTCCAGCCCCCTGGACATAGCAGTCTTAACCCTGGCATCTCCAGTGACTGGAATGGGGGTGGTTTACATCACCTGACTTCATTCTTTGTTGCTTTGTAAATTAGTAAACCCAGGAATTGTGAGGGCAGGGGTAAGGACATTATCTGTATTCCAAAGATGGAGCGAGTAGAGAAAATGGGTTTGTGTTCTCTCTTTGGCTTTTTGAAAACTATAACCTAAAAAGTTTTCTTTCTTACTTGTTCTCTGTCTTAGATATCAGTCTCACTATATAATATATTGACTTGTATCAGACTTCCCATCTACCAAGGAGCTGAGCTCTTAACTGCCTAAAAGTCTCAGTAGGATTTCTATTCTTTTTGGTTTTTTTTCTCTGTGTAGCCCTGACTGTCCTGGAACTTGCTCTGTAGACACTGCTGAACTCAGAGATCCGCCTGCCTCTACCTTCTGAGTGCTAGGATTAAAGGTGTGCACCACCACTGCCTGGCTTTTCCTTCCTTTTTCTAACATTGGCCTGAAGTGGTACTTGACACTGGAGTCTTGCCTCCACTACTTCGAGCCTGCATGTGCATGGCCCTGAACAAGTTAAAAAGGTTATCTGTGATTTTGGCCTTTTTTTTTTTTTTAATGATAGTTGATCCAAAATTTGGAGTACTGTTCCATGCATTCCTGTATAAGGATCAGAAGTGAAAAATCCCACAAAGTACATGAGTTAGGCACAGAATGACAACAAAGGGAAGCTCATGGCCTTGGTATTTGAACCCAGGGGTTTTGTGTATGTCAGGTGAGCCCTCTACCAATGGAGCTACAGCCCCCAAACCAGGAACCAAGAACATCAAGGTTTTTTTGTTTTGTTTTTTTTCAAGAAAGGGTTTCTCTGTATCTTTGGAGCCTGTCCTGGAATTAGTTCTTGTAGACCAGGCTGGCCTCGAATTCACAGAGATCTGCCTGCCTCCGCCTCCCAAGTGCTGGGATTAAAGGTGTGCGCCACCACCACAAGGCATATCAAGATTCTTGATTAACTTTCAGGCTTAATTAGAAAACTGCTTTTTGGGGGGTAAGTGGGGGGGGGGTTCAAGACCAGGTTTCTCTGTGTAGATTTGGAGCCTATCCTGGCACTCGCTTTGTAGACCGTGCTGGCCTCAAACTTAGGCCTGCCTCTGCCTCCCAAGTGCTGGGATTAAAGATAAATGCTTGTTATTTTAATAGCAAAGAGAAAGGTGTTTGGCAGATTGGTTACTGCCAGGTAGAACTTAATGTCAGGTTGACTGTACCCATATAAAGTACATAGCTGCCACTAAAATGCAATGCTTTTTAATGCTGCAAACTCCTGTGACAATGTAATCTATCAGTTTTTAATGTTACATCTATAATTGTATATGTGTACATATACAAACATGAGGGGACTCATGAAGGTCAGAGGATAATTTGGGAGGATCATTTCTAACCGAATCAAGCTCAGGTCATCATCCTTGGCAGCAAACACTTCTTTACTCACTGAGCTGGCCACACTTTTTGAGATAGGGTCTCACTCTGTACATGAAGCTGGACTTAAAACTTTGAGTCCTATGAAATGCTGGTATTACAGACTTGCTAAACTCTAAAAACCTGAAAGTTTCCCTTCATCCTATCTGCCTCTCCCTCGTGTATCCAAGGTAGACTCCAACTCAGTGTGTTATCACTGTTTTCTGTGTTCACCACCCAAGTACTGGATTACAGGACTGGAACCCCAGGGGGACATCAGGAAAGCTCTGAAGAGACTCAAGAAAACTTAGATAGCCTTTCTAACTACAGGGAAAAGCCAGCTCAGCTTTATGTAATTAATTTGACATCTTAATTAAATTCTTTGACACATTGGCCTGGCAAGTAGGATTTGATACGGCTTTGCAGTTCTTGCCCCTTCTGTTTTCCTTGGAACAGATGCAGGAAAGAACAGAATGTAAAGTGCCATCCCGTTTCTCTTTATTTAGGCTAAGCCTTTCTATCTATTACTATTCATTGTTCCCTGGACAGAGATAGGCAGTATTTTAGAGTCTACTTTCACAGCCAAAAGGAACTTTAGATACAGTTGTAGCTCAGAGAGTTGTCATTGAGCTTGGAAAAGAGGGAAACTTGTGCCTTCTAACTGGCAGGCACAGGAAGACCTCTTCAGGTCTCAGGAATGTAGTGTTGTGATTTGGGAGGATTCAGATTTTGTTTGGAGTCTGTTTTTCTAAAGAGTTGTTCTGATCCTAACAAAGTTGCCAATGTGTCCTGCCACCACACATACCAGCCCTGCACCCTACAAAGAGTGTATTGTTCGTGTATCCAGTGTACTCTAAAGGACACACGAGATCAAAAACAAAAATACCAATTTGTACCTAGTAAGGATGTAGTTTGCTCTCGCACCCAGGTGAGGGGGCGGGGAGGAACTGGGCCCACAGCCAGAGTAAAATTCTTTAAAATGGGACAGGTGTCTAAAGATTGGCTGGTCATTTTTAGTATCCTCCCAAAAAGAGGTGAAAGTCCAGGACTGCAGTTTCTAGTGGTCTATATACTTTGGGATGTAAATCCAAATGACGGTTCGTGAACTGAAAGCTGCAATTCAGGATAATGGTCTGGTGGCTGTCCTTGAAAATTTTTTATCTAATGGTTGACCTGAGGTGGTGTTGGTATCATTTACATTCATGATAAAGCTCTAGAAGTTAGCAGCACAGTATACTTTAACATGGTAGGACTTGGATGTAGTTATTCAGACTTCAGAGGTCTTATATAAAACTGGGAGAAAATGCTTAAAGGTGCCTTAATAGGCAGTCCTTGTAAGTAGACTGTGTATAGGGAGCTGGAGAGATAGCTCTGTGGTTAAGAATATATTGGCTGCTCTTGCAGATGTCCTGAATTCAATTCCCAGCAACCACATGGTGTGTCATAACTATCCATAGTGAGATCCGATGCCCTCCCTCTTCTGGCATTAAGACATACATGCAGATAACACATTCATATGTAAAAGTAAGTATTTTTAAAAAGTCAGTGGATTGCTTATTTCCCTTATTTCCCAGCATGGGGTATCTTTTTTCTCTGCCCTTAGAGGAAAACAGATTCAGAATACATTTCAGGTTGGACTTTCCAGTGTCTGGATGGCAACCCACTGGTGTGCAGAGGTACTGGGGAGTAGGCCTGCCTTGATTGTAATGTCAAAGGATTAAGAGTAGAGCTTGGAAAGTGAGATTAGCTGTGGTGATCAGGGCCAAGCCCCTGTAGGAGATGCTGAGAGTGATTTTTGATTTTTGCAGCTTAGTAGTCTTGGGGTCTTTGTACACACAGGGAATACATTCCATGTTTGGTGACAGCTAAGAAGAAAAGGAGCATTAGGAAGGCACTGTTAATTGAATCAGCTTACTACTCAGTCAGGCTTTGAAAAACAAACCCAGTAAAAAGTATCTTTATTCTCTTAAAAAAGTTTTTCTATGATAACGCATTAATACAAAAATATTTGGGATACTACATCAGGTTTTTTCTCTTTTTTGAGACAAGGTCTCTATACAACCCTGGCTGTCCTGGAACTCAGAGAGATCCACCTGCCTTTACCTCCCAAGTATTGGAATTAGAGGTGTGAACCACCACATTCCAGCAATCTTTTCAACACTTGTAACACACTACACTAGAAACATGATCTTTGGATTGAGAAACCAGTGGTTAAAGTAGGAACTAAGGCGCTTTTTTTTTTAAAGGTGTGTTGAATACATTGGTAGCCCCTTTTCTTTGGATTCAGGCTATATACAGTGAAAAGAATTTAAAAAAAAAAGTTAAACAAAAAAACTTGTTTTTCAAGGCTCAGGGTTAAGTTTGGCTCAAAGGGTTTCTAGAACGTGGCAAAGAACCATGCCCACCACAAGAGGATTTATGAACTCCTTGCTTTAGTTGTCACAGATCTCCTCCTTCCTGCAGCCTCGGAGAGACTGAAGCTGGCCAGTTCTAAATGCTGAAAGATGGGCTCTGGCGGGTGGGGGATTTGGGATTTGCCCTCTCACGGCTACCCAGGAGCTGTGACTCAGCTGACACAGATGAGCCTGGAAATGGCACTGGGAAGGTGCACACTGGATTTAAGCCAACTTCAGTTTATTGACTGTAGTTTCTAAGGCTGGTGAGTTTCTCAGGAAAGATTTCCAAGTCATTCTAATTAAAGCTGAGTACTGTCCACCAGTAGGTAGGGTTGGTGTTATTTTGTTGCCTAGGTTGAAAGACCTTAAACCTAACCTATCCCATTTCCTCCTCTTGCAAGCTCCTGGGAAGATAGTAAGAAGCTTCCCCTGGCCCAGCTTACAAACAGCAGCTGTTCTTTGTAAACAGAGCTTCTCTGCTCCTTAAGAGAGAAGCGTTATTTAGACTTTTGTGGCTGGTGACCAACCACAAAGTCATCTTGTGTGATAAAGCAGGTATTCTTGGTCCAAGAAGTATTGGCATGGAGGTGTGGCAGACAGACATTTGTAGAAAAGGCAGCTGAACTCAGTCAGTCCAGCTCATCTGACCTGCAGAAAAAACAAAAACAAACAAGCAAAAAAAAAAAAAAAAAAACCAAAAAACTGTAGGGGCATCCAGCTAGCAAGGCATGACAAAAAGAAAAGGTATGGCTACCATAGGTACCAGGATGCCCTTCGGGAGACGAAACAGCTGCACAGATGTGATCCCTACCACATGACTTGATGGCCTCCAGTTCAGGGAGTAGTTTAAGCAGCCTTTGAAATCTTCAGCACCTGGAGAGGACCCCTAACCAGTTCTGTGATCTGGTCTTGTTGCCTCTTGAGTTAGGGGTGGGCCCATGGAGCAAGCCAGGTGTCCTGTGTGTGCTAGGCTGCCTGCCTCTGAGGTTCCTGTTGCTGTACTTGTGTATTCTGGAGGGTGCTGTGGAGGGTCTTTGGGGACTCAGGAGCTGGAAGAGTGACAGCTGCAGAGTGACCTGAGAATGTTGGTGCTGGCTCCACTGGGCTAGCAAGCAGTTCTGTGGGGAAGTGGGGCAGCAGAAGGTAAGAGGGTGAGTCCTGGGGAGCTGGGGAGCTGGGACAGCCTAGAGCACTGTCATCGGAAGGAACGGGGCTGGGGCAGCGGCCTTCTCCGGGTAAGTACCGAATGCATTTCTTTTTCCTCCTAGGAATAGTGAAGAGAGTTATCTGTAAACAGAGGGTGAATCCATAGTCACACACCACAACCAGAAAATGGCTGTCCTTGAACTGGCCTGGCTAACCACTTTGTCCTCTCTCCAAGGCCCAGAAACTATGCCCATTCCTTCAGCCCCACCTGGCTCAGCTCGAGGATGAGTGCAATTATGTAGAACAGCCACAAGGTGGCAAGTGGAACCTTTTGTGGGTGGGCCTCCTATTTTCCAGGAGAACTATCTTCGTTTGGGTCCTTGATCTTGCAGGGATTAGGAGTCAAGGAACTGTGATGCTTGTGGACAATCTTGGTTCTCACAGCCAGGGTAGTGGGAAGAAGTGCATGGTGACTGTTGCCTACTTACAACTGTAGCTCTCTGGGCAGTTGGCAGTTTGCTCTTTAGACAGGTTCTCCCAGTGTAGTGCTGACTGGCTTGCCTCTGCCTCCTGAGTGCTAGGGTTACAGGTATATACCAGTCCCTAGCCATAGTTTGTCTTGAACAGCACAAATGGATGGTATAGGACCTCTTCTAGGGATGGAATCTCCGTTGTGAGCATGTGCGTGCGCGCGTGCACACACACACACACACACGCCATATTTCTTTTCTCTTTGCCCTATGATATCTCTCTCCCACTAGCCTCTATAACCTTTTCAGTGTTAACAGGTACAAGATGGCAAATCACACAGAGCTTCCTGGTCATCATACTATCTCCAGAAGTCTCTGATACCATCATCTTGCTTTTCTTAGGCAGGGATTTCATTTTAAGGAAATGAGAGGAGTCTGTGGACCTTAATCACTCTGAGAGGCTCAGGCCACCTGAGTTTGACAGATTTGTTTTCTAAGGACCTGGTAAACCTGGCTAGTACCCAAGCCACCCACTTGTGTATGTCTTTCTTTCCTTAGAATGCTGTCTTTCCCTCTCTGCTTGTTCCACCTTGACTAGTCATCTCCACAGTCTGTGTTCAGTGGTCAGACATATTCTAGGAAGGTGTGGGTTTCCTTCTCTACAGGGCTTGCTAGGAGACTGAGGGACAAAGGAGGGCTGCAGACCCGGCAGAACATGTGCAATAAGGGAAGCAGCTTGAAGCAAAGGGAGAATGATGGTGGGGACAAACCCACCTGCACGGACCACACCAATCCGTCTGCTGGTTGAGGCCAAAGCGAGCACGACATTTCTTAGGCGAGCCAGGGTCTGCTCACAGCCATGCCAGAGGGGCAGAACAGGGCAGAGGGCGAGCAGGCAGGCAGCAGGGCAGAACAGGGCCCAGAAAGAAGAGGTAACATCAGTGTTAGCCAGTTACAGACACCCCATAGCCCCCACAGGCAGATGGACCTCTCCATGGCACAGCTGGCTCCAGAGGAAGCCTTAGGACCCAGAGCAAGGTATGAGAAAAGGCAGTCACCCAGCTGGGCAAGAGTCAGTGGAAGAATGGAGTGTGGATGAAGTCCTCATGCTACCTTCCCTTGACTGACCCTTCTAGCATGACTTCTGCATTTTCTATGTTGGGGCTGTCTGTTCCCTTCTAACTACCTGCATGTTTTAATGCAGTTTTTCCTCACTGCTGTCAATACCCCATCTCCCTCTGGTCCATATTCCTAATAAGACTAAAGGTATAGCATATTTATACCTAATATTCCACACTTACAGATGGAAAGAAGAACCTGTTCCTATCCTGAGACAAAGGACAAGAGGACTTTTTTCCTGTCCTGTCCCAATCCTAGGCTCCGGCTTTCCTGTTTGGGGCAACACAGCTGAGAATGTCAGACTGTCATCTAAATCAGAGTTGGGGACAAGAATGAGGCATGCGGCAGGATGGCTTATCTGGGCTCTCTGCAGCACTTTACACTGCCAGGAGAAATGGGAACTAGTGATGGAGAAATCACCAGGTACCTATCAGCAGGCTCTGTGACTACTATTGGGTCCTGGCTGACATTTTTGCTGTAGACATGGAACCATATAATCAGTTCATAATCAGTTTCTCTGGTGGAACCTAGCTGCGAGCAGGGCTGGCAAAGGTGGCATAGGGTTGTATCACTATCGAGTTGGCTTCTGCTGGTCTGTTCCTAGGATACAGTTAAAACTTGCATAGAATTAGACTTCAGAGATGCAGAGTTGTTTGCAGAGGGCTCAGGCCCTGAAGGTTCCTGGCTGAGTGTTCCACCCCACCCTCTGGGCCAGAGGAGGCTGCTCTTACAATAGGAATGTGGAGAGAGACACCTCTATTACTACTGAAGCAAGCAAGGCCTCACCTGTGGTGGATTCTTGATGCTTTTCCCTTGATCGCCTCTTCTTCTTTCCCTGTAGGAACAAGAGAGATGGTTGGTTCTAGGAGGTGGACATTGGGATATCTGCAGCCTATTGCCTTTGAGATTTCAGGTCAATAGGTCTCTTATATTGGGGCTCCTCTTCCTTGGCTGTAGTTCTTGCATGGCTACTGTAGATAGGGTACATTTAGAAGTCTTTCCCTCTCTCAAACTGATCTCCCCTTTGAGTACAGGAGGGATTTCTAGGCCCCTTCTTTCCCCTTCTCACATGGCCAAATCAGATATTAGGCAGCAGTCATACAAATGAATGTACTCTGGAGTGGAGAACTGCCATTAGAGGAAGTCGCTTCAGCTTTCTCTCCTCTTCTGAATAGCCAAGGGAGGTCTTGGGCTCTCTCTGTTACTTTGCCTGTACCATCAAGACAAAAAAAAAAAAAAAAATTCCCCTTCCCACATTGAGGTTGTTGCCTTGGGTACAGTATCTCAAAGGTATCCCCCGCTCCCCTGTGGTGTACTGCTGGCCACTCACGTAGTTATCCCGCGCTGACCAGCCTGGATATAGCTGCATGTGCAGCTGCCTTTCCTTGCGAGCCAGTTCATAGTACTTGGCCTGCTCTTCTCGAGATAGTGCATGCCACTGCAACAAGGAAGCAGGGTGGATGGAATGCACCAGAGAGTTAGAAAGTTGTACCAGGGTGAAAGCGACTGGGGGCAATCCCTGCCAGCCCACTTGCCCATGGCCTCACCCTGCGACCCAGGATCTGGTTGATGGCAGCGCTTTCCTTGAGTGTACACTCTGCAATGACCTTGGCTCTCATCTCCTTCATGTAAAGCATGAAGGCATTGAGGGGTTTTTTGATGGTTGGCTTCTTAGCCTCCTTCTCTGCCTTGGGTTCTGCCTGTGTTTTCCTGGGGTGCACAATCAAATTACATTACTTGGAAAGAAACCACCCCTCCCCTGCCCTGGCAGTGACCATTACCTAATGCCACCAATTTTCCCTCTGCTTCTTTTGGTTTTTTGAGACAAGGTTTCTCTGTGTAGCCCTGACCATCCTGGAACTCACTATGTAGACCAAGCTGGCATTGAACCCAGAGATGTGCCTCCCAAATGCTGGCATTAAAGGCATGTGCCACGACTACCCAGCTCCACCACTCTTTTTTTTTTTAAATATTTATTGATTTATTATGTATACAATATTCTGTCTGTGTGTATGCCTGTAGGCCAGAAGAGGGCACCAAACCCCATTACAGATGGTTGTGAGCCACCATGTGGTTGCTGGGAATTGAACTCAGGACCTTTGGAAGAGCAGGCAATGCTCTTAACCTCTGAGCCATCTCTCCAGTCCCCTCCACCACTCTTTATGTAGCGGTTTCTAAGTAGAATCTTCTAACTGCCCCACATTAGTAAGCAGAGAACGTAATTGTTCCTTTCAAGAATACCACAGCCAAGTGGGAAAACCACAGAGACTCACCCTTCCCTTCTTGGCTCAAACAAGAGTTTTGTTCCTTATCCCTTCCCCACCTACTCTTGTTTTGAAGACTATGAAGCACAGCAATGGTCAGTGACAGAGCCATAGGACAGCTTGGCAGGGCCCTCCAGGCAGTCCTTTAAGATGCCAGGAAGAAGACCTTGAACCTGATACGAGGCTTGTACATCCTGGCTGACCAAACCACTCTGCTCACCTGCCCGGCTCACACCTTCTTGTCCCCTCCTCCCTGCCTGTGTTTTAACTCACAGGCTTCGGTCATATGGCTGCAGCTCCTGCTTCCCTGAGGAGGGTACAATGGCCGGATGAGGGATGGCTGCTGGGTGTCCAGGTACACCAGATCCCAGCATCAAGGACGGGTGGGTGAACCTGGAGGTAGGAGGAAAGGCAACACTAAACCAGAAATTTGGGCTAGACTTTGAACATGTATGGAGGTCTCTGCACAGAGGACACAATTGACAGATACCTTATACTCACTGGCCTGGACACAGGGTACACAGATATGTATGCACAGACACTGCAGAAGACCCACATATGTGCTATTCAAGTGGTCATCAATCCTGTCCCTATCCACATGCTCAGGAGCCTGTGTGCCTCTCTGCTGTCCCACTGTGCTCCTCCGGGCTCCTCTCCACACAATAGACTGACTTTTTAAAGGAATGCTGCTAGCCCACTCCAGCTCAAGTCTCCCTGACACTAGAATAAACAGAATAAACCTCAAGCTCCTGCTTAGGGCTTTTAAAACCCTACCTTAGCACCCCTAACTGCATCTTTCATTCCATCTTCCTGCTCTCCTTTTCCCAGCTAGCCCCAGCCTCCCAGTCCACCTTTCTTAGGAACTGCCTTCCCATAAGCCTCTCTGACTCCATCATGCTGGATTGGGGTCTTCTTGGGGCTTATCTTCAGTCCAGCTGGCCCATTCAGCTTTTGGTGCTAGATCTTTACGTCTTACCATGGGCTGCTGAATGCCTTGCCATAACATGCCTGACAGTGGGTCTGCCACTAGGAGAATGAGCCAAATGAAGGGGGGCCTCCCCGCCACCAACACACACACCTCTTTCCTCTTGTTGTGTAGAGACTACTCTGACCTTTGCTGCTTACCAGATGTAAGAACCCTGAGCAGGCAGGCTCTGAAGGACAGAGGCTAGGGACACAACCTTCAAGGTACTGCCTTGGCTTGGGCAGAGCTCACAGATACCCCAGCAGGCTGAGCAATAGAGCTGAGTTAACCACATATGCACTGCTGTCCTGGTTGTTCTGGGACGCTCTGTTCAGTGTCGCTTGAACTAAGACTTCTAGTTGTATCTTCAGGTACAGAGCAGCATGGGACTCCAAGGTTACAGACAGACAGATGGACAAACAACTAACACAGGGTAAGCACTGGCCTGAACATAGCCCTGTGTGGGCACTGAAGCCTGGGCAACAGGAAGCAGGAGCCTGGCTGCAGGGATAGGGGACTCACCTGGGATAGGGGGCGCCAGGGGCTGCAGTGGGGGCAGGGAAGTGCTGTCTATATCCGCAGGAAGGGGACAAGGGGTAGAGAGGAGGGCTGGGCCTGTGGTTGGGAGAGACAGCTGTTAGCCGTCTGACTGCTAGCCAGACATGGGGAAGGACTTCTGTACCTTGTGTGGTGGGACTCATATAGTGCTGCATGCATCTGCCAGTCTTCCCTGGTTCTTCTTTTTTTTTTTTAACATATATTTATTTATTATGTATACAATATTCTGTCTGTGTGTCTGCCTGCAGGCCAGAAGAGGGCATCAGATCTTATTTCAGATGGTTGTAAGCCACCATGTGGTTGCTGGGAATTGAACTCAGGACCTTTGGAAGAGCAAGCAATGCTCTTAACCGCTGAGCCATCTCTCCAGCCCTTCCCTAGTTCTTAATGGTTAGAAATGGCAGCCTTCCAGAAGCTGGTATCTGTGACCCCTCTGTTAACACTGTCTGAATTGCTCTTCTGTCCTGATCTGCTCGCTTCAACTCATTATGTTTATTTTTTTTTAACATGTATGATTGTTTTGCCTACATGTATGTCTGTGCATCACATGTATGCCTGGTGCTCTAGGAGGTCTGAAGATGGAACTGGATCCCCTGGATCCACCATATGGGTGCTGGAACCCAAACCTTGGTCCTCTGGAAGAGAAGCCAGTGCTCTTAACTGCTTAGTCATCTCTTCAGCTGCTTCAACTCAAAAGCCTAGGAGTCCCAAGGTGAGTGAGGTGCCTCTCTGGGCTCCTTTAGTTCCAAGTCAAGACAGTTAACAGTGCCCCATAACTGTTGACTTCTTGCCTGGTTGTCCACTAAACAGACTTTGTTCTGAAAGGGCAGGGACCTAAGGTCACAGTCAGCTCCAGCAGTGTTTCTCTGGCCCTCAGATTCCTTCCCGGCACACACAGGACCCAGTGCAGAAGGTGAAACTGTCCCAAGTCTCACCTGGCAGCAGCTAAGATCATAGAGCTTTCCTTCCCTGGGCCTATACCCTTTCTCTAGAGGCTCAGTTGGTGAATATCCTCTCAAGGCTCAGACTTCCTGGTCTTTGGAGCTTCAGCCTAGGGGACTTAGGAGCTGTCCAGGGAGTTGCCTGTTCAGAGCATTGGCCTGGCACCATCAGGCTGAGCACTGAGCCCCCCATCTTGGTCCTGGGGGTAATCATGGGGTGGAATGGAACTTTGTCCAAACAATCTGGAAATGGAGGAGTGTGCTGATCACGGATGATGGGCAAGTACAACAAGGCCAGTAGGCCCAGGCTGAAGGTCTGGCCTTTCCTGCTACTGGCTAGAGACCTGTTCATGTTACACTGTTAATGAGTAAAAGGCAGGCCAAGTGGCTCGTTGAGACCCAATTCCAGCTGAGAACAGACTGGTCCACAGTCGGGCCTGGTCTAGCCTTAGCAGACCTTCCCAGTAGGCTGGTCAGGAGTATGGCTCAAGCAAACACCAGAGACCAGAAGGACCCTGTTCCTCATATTGTTTGTTCTGCCAGGTGTCTACAGCAGCATCACTGAAGCCACCAGGAAGCTACCTGTCTGCTTACCAGGCAGCCGAGAGGCAGTGCCCTCTCCTGGTGAGCTTTACACACCTCCATGCACATGTCCAACTTTTCTTTCTCACCTTCTGAAGAATTTAGCTGGAGGCTTGAGACCAGCAGCAGCTTTCCTAGCTCCCTAGAGGAAGTATGCCAAGCTACCTGTGGGGATGCTCGCAGTCGTAAGAATTGCCAGCTCAGAGGCAGATTAGGCTAAAACTGCTGGTACAGAGCTGGCAGCTCAGGTCTCAATAAAATGGGTAAAGGAGGAGCATGGGGAGGGCAGACACAGTGCCCCCTTTTGTCTGGGCCCACACTTACCAGCTCACAGTGTGGGGGAGCTGTCCCATGCTGCCTGAGGTCAGAGAGTAAAATCCAGAGAGATCAGGGGTCTGCAGCGGCCTGTGAACTCCTGTAGGGGAAAGGGCTCAGTAAGCAGGTCACCCTCATGTGGGAAGTTAGGACATTCAGCAGTTACTGTACCTTGGAGCTTCTACAGGGGCTTCTAAGATCCCACTTCCTTTTGCCAGAGGCCCAGACATCAGCTGGTTTGTTTAAAACTGTCTTGGGGTAATAACAAGGACTTTCTGACAAAGCAAAAGGGACCAAGGACAGAGGTGCTTAGTGACTTGCCTTCGGACACTGGCTGGACAGAGCTTGGAGTCACTCAGGAATGAGGCCTGACCTCACCAATTCCTGAGGCACTGCTGCTCTATCTTTGGAGCCTCTGCTTAGGACCATGGCCTGGCTCTTTGGGTAGAAGGCAGCTCCTTAGCCTAGAGGAACCTGGCCTGAAGAGCCAGGGCTCCACCCAGCCCCAGGTTGAGTCAGCAGGTTTCCCACAGCTGACAATGGTGGATTTCAGAATGACTTTGGCTGAGGCTGAGGTGAATCAGCCATCACAACCACCACTTTCCATTTTCTCACTGGGGAGAAAGGCCTCGAGCTTCACAGCTGCAGCAATGCACTCGGTCTGTTTCTAACTTTTTTTAAAAAACCTTTCTACGGCAGAATCTTGTTTTTGTAGCCCAGGCATGTCTGGAATTCATTGTGTAACCCAGGCTGACCTCAAACTTTCAATCCCCTGCCTCTGCTTTCCTAACTACTTGGATTATAGGTGTGGTGTGTACCACTACACCTGGTTCCTTTCTGACATTTTCTTTGGGCCCTGGGTTTGCAAAGCCCCAGCATCTACTATTATAAAATGTGGGCCAGCCTATGGGACCTCAGAAGCCAGGTGGGCCACAAGTTCCCACCTCAATGGACTTCTCCCACCCCATCCCATACCTTGCTTCTGGCTGATGTCCGCGGGTGCAGGGTTGGGGTGTGGACTGCTGAAATGTTCATAGAGTGGAGAAAGTTGGGGGACGCCATGTGGGGGCTGGCCAGCCTTGTTATGCTGAAAAATGACCAGGAGGCTGGTAAACATGGAGTGTTCTGGGATGGGGGACACAAGAGTGTAGGGGGCACACGAAACTTCAGTGAGCTCCGTGGTCAGCCTGGCAGTCAAAATCACAAGCTTATGGGGGGAAGGCAGTCTACACACCTGTGTCCTGTGGCACTGCTTTCCTGTGTCCCAATCCTGGAGACTGTCCCACCTCCTAGTGAGCCTCTTCTGGGACTTCCAGGACACTGATTCTTCTCTCAAGAAGTCCTTCCTGGCCTCCCGGTCCCAGAAATCCACACCCCCCTCAGCCCAGATTCTATGAAGCCCATGGCTGTCTGCAGCCTTTTCCTCCGACAGCCCCCAGACTATCCACCTCACTTCTTTCTTTTTTTTTCTTTGAGACAAGGTTTCTCTGTAGCTTTTTTGGTGCCTGTCCTGGAACTAGCTCTTGTAGACCAGGCTGGCCTCGAATTCAGAGATCCTCCTGCCTCTGCCTCCTGAGTGCTGGGATTAAAGGTGTGCACCACCACCGCGTGGCCCACCTCACTTCTAATTGCATGTGTTGGCACAGGGCAGGGATCTCCTTTAGCCCCTAACTTGGGTGAGATCAGGTAGTACCTGGCTCCCCCCAGGGACAGCCTGTGTGTACACACACACACACACACACACACACAGCTCCTCTGGTTTCCTTAGCTGCAGGACTTTTCAATCAAATGGTTCTGCCAAGAGATGACGCTCTGCCCAGCCACAGGGAGTCGCTGCCAGGCCTAGTGTCTTCAGTACATGCCCTTCAGGCCAGAGTTCTGGGGACATCTACAACCAAGGCTCTGCTTCCACCCAGACTAACTGGTCTGTGGGAATGCGGCTGGCTGACAGCACACAGAAGCGACTGCTCACCATGGCACGAAAGGAAGAACCAAGACATCTTGGAGCAAGCAGCATACAGAACCATGGGGAGAGCAGGTAAAGCCCGCCGTGGGCACTTCATTTCAGAACAACCCTTAGATCTTGTGTGTCCCTCTTGCAAGTGAATGAGGCCTGGCAAAGGTCCCTTGCTTGTTACTTGGCTACTGCAGCTCTAAGGAAAAGCCAGAGGGAAGGCTGGGTATGAGCCCCACTGTAGCCGGGGCATGCGGTGTCTAACTGGACACAGCCCCAGTACATCTCTCCACAAGTCCTGCTCTGCCATCTTTCCCTGCATTCCAACTACACCTTCCCTCAAGTCTTGGGCTCCCTAGGCTTCCCTCTGTCTCAGTCAAACAAGAGCTAATGTTGGAAGCTAAGTATGTTGGTGCTCCCCTTTAATCCCAGAACTCTGGAGGCAGAGGCAAGTGAATGAGTTCAAGGCCAGCCACAGCCAGAGCTATATAGTATGTCCATTAAGGGAGGAGAGGAGCGATCTGGGGTAGTTGTAAAATGTGTGGACATGTTAGGCACTGGCTACCTGTCACATGTCGGGCACTGTGTATAAGTTTGTAAGTGCCTCAACTCTAGGCCTAAAATGTCCCCAACTCCATACTCATGCAAGTGCTCTCTGAGCTACACCCTCAACCCTCGAATCAGAGCCTTTGGCTCTGCCTGCACGCTGTGGACTTCCTCGGTTACTGGAAGTCCCGTTCTTCCATTAACTGATGACTGCTCAGAACAGACAACCTTGTAGTCATTCTTGACACTGACCCTGTGTCCAATTTCTCAGGTTCTAAAGTTCAACCTTCAAAATCTAGACCCTAACCACTTCCTGCCTCCTTCCCAACAGTCTAAGCCATTGCTTCTCACCTGGACCACTGCTCCTCTCTGCCCCTTAGCCAGGTTCCAGCAGACACAGATCACGTCAGTCTTCCCTGGTGACAGCTGTGTGAGAACAGCACCACCTTCCACTGTGTCTGCGCACGTGCCCAGAGTCCCCCAGCATTTTACCCAGGGCTAAGGTCTGAGGACACCATGGTGTGGAGGAAGTTTGGAAGCTCTAGGCTTGCTAGCCATTTCCTGATCCTGTTACGCCAGGATCCTGAGCTGCGCTTCTCCCCTCCTAAACAGGAATGAGAATCAGTCCTGCCCACCTCATAAAAAAAATCTTGCTGAGGCCCTTTACAATAGGAAGCTTCCTGACAATCTTTGAAGTCTTTTTTATCCTCATGGATTGCAAGACAGGGCCAGCCAGCCAGCAGCCTTGTGGTAACCCCACTCCTTTGGGAGTCTTAGACCCTGGCATATGGCTCTGCACCATTCACTGCCTAAGGCCCAGTTGTGCTTCCTGAGCCCCAGGTTGCAGTGCAGCTTGGACTGGGCCTAAGAAACCTCAGAGATCCAGCTCACCCTACAATGCCTGCTGTGCGTGCGTGCGTGCGTGCGTGCGTGTGTGCGTGTGTGTGTGTGTGTACAAGGCAGTGAGGCTAGGGTTGTGGATCCTGGGAGTGGTGAGCAGGGTTGTGGGTCCTGAGAGTGGTGGGCCTGTCCTGTCTACTAGTGTTTCCTGGTATTTGGGGTAAACCTTCATTAATTAGAAGTCTGCAACCAAACCGCAGAAGCACTGGGTGGCAGAGTAGGGGCAAAGAAGCCACCAGCAGCCAGAGGCACTGAAGGCCAGGGCTCCAGGAAAGGTACCATGGGCCTGGCCGGTCCTTCTCATGTTCGTGCAGTCTGCCTCTTCACCCAACTCCTCAGACCCTTCCCTGCCTGATGCTGCTAGCCAGGGGAACTGTCTGGCACAAGGCTCCCTGCCCCTTCAGCTAGGAGAACGTCCCGCTCCAGGGCTTCAGCACAAGGCTGTCTCAGCGCCAGACTTCCCAGACGACAGGGTGGGGTCGCCCAGGGCTTGGCCTGTGCATGGGAAGTCCAGGGACTAGAGCTCCACCTCCCTCTTCTGCTTGAGGGTGACTGTCCCTAGCCTCCAAGAGAAGAAGGCAGGTTGGGCTGACTGTCCCCACCAGGCACTGAGTTCCTCAGCAGCACAGTTCCCTTGTCTCCTTAGGGAAAGAACACAGCAAGTGTCAGAGCACAGTGGGACATAAACACACAGCATGAGTCAGGGACTCAACTGCACTCAGGTATCCCCTACAGCAGGCACCACATCCCTATCCTTGCCTTTGCCGAGTGCTGGCAGTGCTCCCACCAGCATGGTCTAAGACTTGGGCCCCAGGGGTGCCTCAGCTATTCCTGCCAAGAGTTATCTAGCCTGCTACCTACCTGGTGACTAGCTCCCTCCCAACAGAGGTGGTCCTTCCTGCTGCTGGTGTGTTCTTGGTGTTCAAGAACTCTCCACACCCACCCTCAGCAGTCCCAAAGACATCTTCTGGGAAGTCCCCAACTCTAGTGCCCTAGCCTGGATACCTCCTCAGGGCAAGGCAGCACAAGGTAGAAATGGGGGACCCCTGGGCTCTCTGCTCAATAGTTGAGCTTGGGCCTAGCTAGGCTGCCTCTGGCCCCCCCACTTCCTGCAGGTTCAGGTAAAAAATAAACACAGTCGGCATTTTCCCTGCAGACCGCAGCGGTCTGTTCACAAGGCTGTGAGCTTGCTGAGAGCCCCTGTCACCGCCAGCAGAGAAACTCCCTCGCCTCTGACGGTTGACTCTAAAAACCCCCAAGTGATTAAGCCCCACAACACTTTCCCAGCGAAGAAAGTTGCCGTTTCCTCTGGCCCCAAACTCGATGGGGGTGGAAGAACAGGTCCTCTCCAGAAAGCCCTGTGGCAGAGTCTGAGGCAAAAGAAGCGTCCCTGAACATCCAGGACCCATGAGCTTGGACAAATATCAGGATGTGTCCCCGAGCTCCTTGCATGTGCCAGGTCAAAGAATGTCTGAGGCTGGGAAGAGCACCCGCTACTGATCCAGTGCAGGCCACAGAGCAGTCACAGCTCCGAGCACCAGACACCTCCTTGAACAGACCTACCATTTGCAGGCACGGTGACTATCACCATTGGCAGGTAAGGAAAGCAAAGCACAAGGTCACACCTAGACTCAGTGCCAACTGCTGCAGTGCAAAGACCTGTGATTAGTATGGCTAGAACAGGAGGCTGGAGTGCAAAGGAGCTTATATCACTCTTCCTTCAGCTGGACTAGCTTACACTTCGCTGAGTCCATGCTCCCCTGACTCTAAAAATAATCTTCAAAAACATATCTGACGGAGAAAGCCGGTACATGCCCCTGAGGCCCTAGCCATATCTCCCTGTCCTCCACTGGCAGGCTCCTGTCCTACCTAGACGCCCAGCTCTGTCTCAATGACTCTTCCCGCTCTCACGAGACTCCAAACTTCCTCTGCTCCTTGCTATGCTGGCTCCTCCACAGACCTAAGCCACCTCTAACCTGGCTCTGCCAGCTTGGCAAGCAACTGCCTGAGCATCCTAGAGAGCTCGTCTCTCTAGGCTCTGCACTCAGGTTATTCTCTGAGGGCCTGGAACAAAGACCCGGTGAGTTCTTGGTGCCCTAAATTTCTGCACATCCCACCCACACTTGTCAGTGTAGCTAGGACTTCAAGTCCCTCAGGGCAAGAGGCTGCCTCCAGCCCACCCTGCAGAGCTGGAAAGTGGCCCCCAGGTATCACCTGTGGAAGGGGAGAGGCAGACTCACTCCTTAGGCTCTGTGCTTCAGCGCAGACGCTAGCACAAAGGTGGGCTACTGCCATGGCCGCTCACTGTGTTTGCTAACAGCACAGCAGCAGAACTGAGGAGTATAAGCATAGGGGGCGCCCATCTCAGGCAGGCACTCAGGTGGGGCTCTATGGAGAGGATATCATCCACAGCACACAGCCTATTGGGCCCCTCCAAGGATTCATAGGGTCACCAAGGATGCCAGATAGTCACACTCCTCTCCACTTTCCTTTCTTCACTCTGCACCAGCCACACAGGACTGGGGTGCTCTTGCTGCTACCTCATATAAGAGAGACTGCCTCTGGGAGGCCTTTCCAACCCTCCTTATGTGGCTGCTTCCCTGCCGTGTCCTTACCTGCCTTCTCTCCTCCCTGTGTTCTGGGATTATGCCTTTAATTTTTGGCATTGAGCTGAAGCTGGTAACCAGGCTGGTTCTCTAGAAGCGGTACAGATAGGCCCGCATTCAAAGAGAAGACTTGCAGTACTGGGGAAGCCTGGGGCTGGATGCAGGGTTACAGCAGCGTACAGGAACTGGGCCACTGTAGGGTCAGGATAGTCTACCTGGCATCTGAGTCCCTTGCTCTCCTCCTCTCTCTGCACGTCTCTATCCAGCTGAAGGACTCTGGCAATGAGAATGACCAGAAAGTCAAAATTAGACCTGCCATTGGCTCACAGGTTTCTTTGCTCTAATTAGAAAATGTACACCCAGGGCTGGAGGGGTGGTTCAATGGTTAAGAGCACTGGCTGCTCTTCCCGAGGACCCAGGTTCAATTCCCAGTGCCCACATGATAGCTCACAACTATCTGCAGCTCCAGGTTTCTAGGGAATCTAACACCCTCACACAGACAATGCACCTAAAGTACAAATAAATTATAAAAAGAAAGAAAGAAAAGGTACACCCAAGCCTCTGTCTTGGGGAACACTGTGCAGGCTGGTTTCCCTAAACAATCCAGTGGTGGCCACTGAAAAAGTCCCCTCCAATTCTCACTTCTTGTCTTCACATTGTCAGACACAGGTGACCAGTTCCTCATGTGGAGCACAATAGGATCACCATCCAGCCCCAAGGGTATGTGTGCTTAGCAGTCTGATTGGGGTGCTCCCTGGTGCCTGAGCCCATGAGGATGAACTTCCTGGGATGCAGGTTCCACAGACCCTCTTCTGCAGACACACTACAGACTGGCTTCTGGGAGGAACCGATTAGGAGAGCCCTGGCTCCTTCGGCCCCAGCTTCCCAGGACAGAGTGCTCTCCAGGGTACAACAACCTATAAGCTCTCACAAATGCCCTACGCCAGATGCCTACCACAGAACCAGGGCCATGGCCTTAGGGCCAGCAGAGCTGCAAGGGCTTGGGGATGGCTGGGCCACACCCTAGACCAGGAAGGGTTTTAGATCCACCGACCAGCAACAAGGCTGTTACCATGGTCGCAGAGTCATGCCAAGCCCATGTGGCTAGTCCACTAGCCTCCTGGCCCTGACATCAGATAACAGGACTTGTCTCACAGGAGGTGAGGACCAGAGTCCCTGCACGCAGCCTTGGCAAACCACAGTTTTCTCCACCCAGCCCAGCCCAGAGGCACCACCAGAGTGAGCTGAACCCCACAAGCTGAGTGGCCTTGCCCACGGCCTCTCTCGTGGTTTCTATTCATTCGTCTGCTTGTGTTTTCCTTCCTCCTCTTTGAGGTAAACGCCCCTCAGGACAGGATGTTTTTAGGGGAAAATAGAAGCTTCCGGGAGCTGCTGCAGCTGAGCTGCTAGCTAACACTAAGAACACCCTGTCTGTGGATTCTGCAAGCAGCCTAGGGCTGGGCATGCTCCAAGTGCAGGCAGTCACCCTACTCCTCCTAAGTGTCCAACATCAAGCCTACTGTAGATGTGGCCTCAACCCTGTCTGGGTTTAGCAAAAGGGAGAGGGAGGCACTGAAGCAATTTAGAAAGAAGCTTTGTGCCTCTGGGGGCACAGATGGAGGCTTTGTAGAGATGGGAGGTCAAAAACAGCAAAGCAAGGGCAGACTTAGAGCTGGTGGTCCCTGCCAGTCCAGTAATGGCCTCCTCAACGCCCAGCAGGCTACCGAGTTCCACCTTATGCCAGACTCCTACCAGTTTCCCAGATGAAGACGTCTACAGATGAGGACAGTGGAGCACAGCACAGGCCAGGGACCCACTCAAGTGTCACAGCAAGCAGTGACCAGTCTGAACGAGGCCAGACCTCGTGGGCAGCACTTACGCTGGCAGTCCCCAGCCAAGCAAATCTGGTGGGCAGGTTGGTCAAGAAAAGGTCTCAACTCTAGCTCAGGCTGGCCTGGGAGATCCCAGAGAAGCTCTAAAAGGTGATGCTGAGGAGACGGATTGGAAGAGAAGAAACTTAGAGACTGCATGCTCAGGTAGCCTGTGCTATGGTCCCGATTCGATCCATGAAGGGCAGCACAGGGCTCTCCAAGACACCTGAACTGCCTATGCCTAGATTGCCTCAAGAAGACTGTTTTGTTTGGAGGCCATATCAGGATGCTCATTCAGGTCTGACCTTCCAGGCTACTTTGGATTAAGGCCCAGGAGCTCGATATAGACTCAGTCCAGCCATTCATCCACACGGTCACAAGACAAGGTGCATCCACACAGTCACAAGACAAGGTGCATCCACACAGTCACAAGACAAGGTGCAGAAAGAAGATGCTAAAGTCTCCCTGCCTTAGAGTACTCCCCGTATCTCTACAGCCAGTGTAAGCAGGGGTAGGGCTGGGCTGTTCCAATTGCCACAAAGCCCTGATAAGAAACCCCTAAGGAGGCCGAGTTAGGGGGCTCATCTAAAATCACAGTGTTCCTGCACAGGGCACGGAACACCAAACTCCCATGGGTGAGGCAAAAGCACCCAGTCGCCTGTACCATGCATGCTACCGACAGAGCAACAAGGCATTGTGAAGGAGGAGGGTTCAAATCCCTCCTCCAACACTTGCACTCTTGGGGTCCACATTTCCCAGTCTATAAAATGCCCATGAGAGAGTGGAATGTGCCGAGGCCTGGTGAGTTCTTATTTGTGTTTGCTAATATTATTTTTGTATTAAGATCAAAAGGAAGAAAAAAAGACAAAAGCAAGTCCTGTCCCTAGACAAAGGCTTTTCAGGAAAACCAGTTTCATGCCAAGTTGGGACTGCAGGCCCTCAATGTCCTTTGGACCACTGTCTGGTCACCAGCAGACCAGGCTTCTGGCTCCTCTCTGGCCTGCAGTGACCACAAGGGACAGTCCAAAAATGCTGTCCTCAGAATGCCCCCGTGAAGCTGGCAGGAGGCTCTGGATCCCAAGAAACTTGTCCCTAGGTGTCATACCTAGGCCTTGGGGTGCCCTCAACTGCGCAGCCCAGCTATTCCCAAGGACAAGGGGTCTAGGAAACCCTTTAGCCCAACCCTAGACATCCCTGAAAGGGTTACCTTGGCCTGGGAAGCCTAGCATCAGGCTTTGGATTAAGTGAGGACCGAGCTGGCAAGGAAAACTCCACAGTGGACCATTTCTAACTATCTTCTGCCACACACCAAACCTGGCTCAACTTTACGGGTCATTTACAGACTGTTCTCGTGGGACAGTTTCTTTGAGGAGGAAAAGGTTCTGGAATCTTGTCTCCCAACCAAGAAATGCAGCCTTCTTCAACCCTGCGAGGACTGACCTTGCCAGGTGTCCAAGGGGAGGGCCAGCCTGACCAAGGCCCAGAGCTAGGAGGGGTAGGGAGAGCTCAAGTCTCTTCTTGACTTGGGGCCAGAGGAAAGCCATGCAGCTCCATGGCCTGCACCGTTCCCATCTCTCATATTCTAGAACAAATGGAGACAAGCAGCACAGAGCATGGACAGCAGGAGACCACATCCAGATCTGACCACCGAGTCTTCTAGGAGCCCCACCTCCCCCGAGGAACTGTGCATGTCTGTTTACATATATGTGCCCGTGTATATGACAGTCAGAGGCCAAAGATTTCCTCGTTTTCTATTTTCTGAGACAGGGTCTCTCGTGAAGGCCAGAGCTCACCAGCTAGGCTGGCTGGGTAGAAAGCTCCAGGGTCAGCGTGGGCCTGCACCCTGGCACTGGGGTCACAAGTGTATACTACCAGTCAGCTTTTCACTGGTGCCGGGGAGCTGAAACTCGGGTCTTTCTGCTTATACAACAGTCGCACTACCAAAAGAGCCCCCCCCTCCTCGCCCCCACCCCCCACTCCCAATCAAACCTAAACAAACAGGGCCTTGGCCTTGAACTTGTTGTGTAGTTGAGAGTGACCCTGAAGGTCTGTCTGCTCCTAGGATCATAAGTGTCTACCACTATACCCAGTTTATTCGGTGCTGGGGACTGAGCCTAGGGAGGGCTTCCAGTAGGCCAGGCAAGTACTTGGAACTACACTGTTTCAGTTCTAGCACAAAAAAAGCTATGCTGCCATACATGAGATGTTTAACTGTTCTCTGAGCACCTAGTGAGTGCCAGCCCTCGTGGGACGCTGAGAATCTAGGAGTGAAAGGAGCGGATGCAGTCTGGACCCTCTAACCTTTCCTGATCAAAGCTACCATCCCTGCATGCTTCACTTCCAGAGCAACTAACCTCTTGCCTTGGATCTCCCTGCTTTATCTGTTCCCGACACCCCAGCCACAGGGCTGCACACTGCTTCAAAGCCCACCATCACGCTCTGGGGTGGCTGCCACAACCGGCACATCCCAAGTGTCCAGCCATGCCTGGCAAAGACCCCACTGCTCCCCACAGGCTGCCTCTAAGCATCAGGCCCACCCACCCTCTGCCTGCCTGGCCACCAGGCGGCCACAGAGCCATCTGATCTGAGTGAAACTTCAAACTTAATGACTTTCATGCTGGTTATTTAAAACGCAATGTAATTTTCTTAAACACCCTATTATTTCCTTTGATAGCTACAAAGCTCCCCCAATCCCATAAGCATGTTTATTTTTAGAGAAAAGAGTGGTTTGCAGTTGGTCAGAGACCATAGGGAGAGGAACCCACAGAAAGCAGGGCAAGGAGTCAGTGCTAGCAGCTGGGAGGCCCTCCTGCTGCTGGCTTTCCACGCCACCCATCATCAGACAGGCCCACCCTTCCCTTACCAGCACCTCAGCCAGTGACCCTTCTAGCCCACACTTGACAGTGGCCAGGTCCATGTTAGGCCAGGTCCATGTTAGGCTGGCCCTTGATGGTTCCACTTGCTGCTCACGAGCCTCCCACAGGATTCCAGGCAAGGACAAGCCTAGGGAAGGGTCTGCAACACACCCTCCAGCAGCGTTTCTCCTGTTCCAGACAGTCTGCCCCTGGTAAGGCCTCAGGCCTGAAGCCTTGGCCAGCAGAGTAAGAGCTGCCTGTCTAGATACAGCAGCCTCAGGCACTGGCTGCCCACATTGGGTGGGTGGGTGGGTTATGTACAGCCCTGCCATTCGGGGCTCCTGGGTAATGGAGGTGGCATGGAAGAGGGTTTGTGTGCAGAGGTCAGCTGAGCCCCACCAGTGCGGGGCGTCCTCAGGGAGCAGCTATTTTTAGGTCTGAAGCTTTCATGTGGC